CTCCTAGAAATAAATAAAACATTAAAAATTTTAAAAATAAATACAGTCTTCAGTGAAATAAGGAAATTGCAGCTCCCACATGCTCCAAAACAAAAACTTTTCACTTGCAACATCCCTTGCCTTTCAGATACCAAAACTGAATTATCATCGCTGATTCTAACCAGCCAAAGCAGATCATGACTGAGAAAAACCATGAGCAATTCTAGTATGCCAGACTCTCACCAAATTACTAGAAGATTGCTGAACAACCAACAGGACGGATCATAACCAGCTCTGAATGGATTTAGGGATGCATTCCTCCCCAGCCAGGTGTATACTTAAACCTTACTTATAACCACCATCATCTTACCCCTGTCCATGACACTTACAGAAATTGACCACAGAGGATTAAGTGAATTACCTACAATCATAGTACTTGGTAGAGCTGTTATTTGAAGTAAGGTCTTTCAAAACCTACACCCTTAACTTTGTATTGTATTGCCTCTGTGTCATTTCTCAACCATAACACACAGCATTTTTGTGTGTGTAGTCCCAAAATTTACTGTAAGATAGATTGGGTCTCTGCTCTGTTTCAATGAGTTAGAGTACACCAAATCAATGATTTGTGTTCAGTAATGTTTCTAGTTGTCATTAACATATTTTAGGAGATAGCTCAGTTCTCGGCTAGGAACCCACTGGATTGATTACCTGAACCCTGAACCACAAATGTTTCAATGGAGTGTGACCAAGATTGTGTGAGGATAAAGTTTTTAGTCTACGGTCACTGGGGCTTCTCAATAGGTTTTTTTTTCATGTTTATTTTTGAGAGACAGAGAGAGAGAGCAAGCTGGGAGGGGCAGAGAGAGAGGGAGACACAGAATCTGAAGGAGGCTCCAGGCTCTGAGCTGTCAGCACAGAGCCCGATGCAGGGCTCTAATTCACGAACCGTGAGATCATGACCCAAGCCGAGCTAAACTCAGATGCTCAACAGATTGAGCCACCCAGGTACCCCTCAATAGGTTGTTTCTGTTTATTTCTTTCACAGAGGCCTAGAGTCCAGACCGTGTCTGGTAGACATGCAAAGGTAGTCAAACACGTAACCAGAGAAGTAAAGACGGTCAAGAAGGAATAGTGCCTCAGTTTCAGCATAATTTTATCATTTTTAGAACCTCGTATGTGTGACTTTACACATTAAAAAAATCCCAAAACAAAAAAGTCAAAACCAAATTCCTGGTTGCAGTGTTTTAACTAATGTGTACGGAGGATCCACAATACCAGTTTCTAGGTCTTCAGGATGCATTTTGTAGCTTTGAAGAGCAACATCATCCATTCAATAAAACGTTCCTCCAAGAAATTAATGACTGAGATTATGGGAAGATATTGCCTGTGTTCTCAACCCACCCTGTCTGCCACATATTATTAGAGCCATAATATCAGGAAAAAAAACATGCAGAATGCTAATTATAAGCCAGACGCTGTACAAAGTGCTTTACATAGATGAACTCATTTAATCTTCAGACTATTCCTTGGACTAGAGTTTTACTAACCTGTGGTTTTAAACACAAGAGGAGAAAGGTGTTATCTAATTGCCTTAATAAATGGCAGAACTGCCCTAACTCCTTTAGTCTGTTCTCAATATGGTGACCAGAACACTTGAGTTACAAGTCAGTTGTGTTATCCATATGCTCAGATCCCTCCAATGACCCCCTTTCTCATGCAATGTTTCTCGAAATCCTACACACCTACTTTCTGGCCGTTGGCAGCTGGCTTTCATCTCCCCCTTCACTCATGCTGCCCCAGACTTGTTCCCACCTCTGAGCGCCTGCACATCCTACTTCATCTGCCCAGAATGTCTCCCCAGATCATCTCCCAAGTCACTTCCTTATCTCCTTTGTCTTTACACAAAGGTCACCTGCTCAATGAGGCCTTCCCGGCTCACCTGGTTTAAAACTGCAATGTATCCGCAGTGTCTCCCACAGCTTATTTTTCTCCATGGCACTCACCTCCATATATAGTTATATAACTTACTGATCGTACACTCATCTCCTCGCCCCTAACAGGTTAAGTTCCTTGAAAAGGGTGTTTATGCAGCACTTGGAACAGTGCCTGGCACACAATGGATGCTGAATAAGTATGTACTGAATGAAAGAACAGATGTGGAGTAAGAGAGGCTGGTCCGCAGAGAGAAGCATGAAGACAACATGCAGAGTCGGAGACAAGACAGAGAGATGGCCCTGGCTGCACCCTCTGCCTTTCTGAGCTCTGAGTCTCTTCTGTCCAACCCACCTGTGTCTGTTCTAAACCCAGCCCCGTGCCCTCTGTTGAAGTTCAGAACAGCCAGAGTAGCTTTTTGTGTCTTGCAGCTAGGTCTGTCTTAGCTGCACCCCATTTCCTCTGCCAGAAATGCCATTTTATCCTTGTCTGAAAACTCAAATCTCATTTTTTTTTTTTAAATTTTTTTTAAGGTTTTTTTAATTTATTTCTAGAGAGAGAGAGAGCGTGAGCAGGGGAGGGTCAGAGAGAGAGGGAGACACAGACTCCGAAATAGGCTCCAGGCTCTGAGCTGGCAGTCAGCACAGAGCCCGACGCGGGGCTCGAACCCACGAACCGCGAGATCATGACCTAAGCGAAAGTCGGACGCTTAACCGACTAAGCCACCCAGGCGCCCCTCAAATCTCATTTTTTATTAAAGTCATCAGTCAAGCTGCCCCTGACCATCCCAGGCCATTACAGCTGTTCTGCAAAAGGGAGGTGTAGGCAAAAAAGACCTCCAAAGACCAAGGGGGCCATTAGACCAAAGGAAAAGGCCGACAAGTCTAGCTTGACAAGAAATGGCCCTTAATGGGGGCTTATGGTCGGAGTGTTTCTTGGGATTTCACAAGGTCTCTTTCGATCCCACTTCCCCTAAGATTTGCTTTTATAGAGCCCGGGGGCAGGGAGTATGATAGGAAAAGATAGGATTCAGTAGGCAGAGAGGGAAAGGTGAGGATGGAGGTCCCCAGGTGGGGAAAAACACATATTTTGGAACAATGCTGGGAGCATCTGACCACAGCAAACTCCCTCCCTCGGGGTGTAAGGTTCCTCTTAGGAACGTAAAAGATGCTACCTCCCCTCCTTCAGGCTCCCCTCAGGAATTTGACAAAAGACCTATCAGTAGTAGACC